CCCCCCCATCCACCGGTTCTAGAACTGCTCAGATTACCTGGGGAAACAGCTACCTGACCTTTTTATGTTTCTGGGGAGATGTATCCCATTGTATTTGGTCTTGGCGTGCTCAGTTTTTCTTGGCCAAATCTCTTTTATACCCTACGCTTCATTTTATTCAGGGTTTTTAGCCTTAGCAGTATTGGCTCTTTGGGCTAGGTAAATTTTTTTGCGGAGGCTGTCCTGTGCAATGTAGGATGTTTAGCAGCATCCCTGACCTCTACCCACTAGATACCAGTAGTGACTTTCCCCACAGTTGTGGTAACCAAAAATATCTTGGGCATTACCAGATGTCCCCTAGGGGGCAGATTCATCCCCAGTTAAAACTACTAATTTATTCCCCTCTATAAAAATGCTAGCTCCAAAAGATGCAGGCATTTAAGCTCTGGTAGTCAAATTCCTAAACATGTGGATTTTGGCCCAGGGGAAGGAAATTTAGGATAAGGGCCATCAACCATTTCATTCTGACCCTGTGATATTGACATGACATTGTTTTTGGTTCTTCAGAATATTTTGGGTTAATACATCTCTCATTGCTAATAATACTGTGAAAAGACAGGAAGGCTGAATGAAGTGTGTACTTGGACTTGTGTGCTTGCCCCACCAGAGAGCCTCTCAGTGCCTTATAACTCCTTTTAGACCATCCTGACAAGCTTCGCAGAATGGTTTTCCAGCTTGTAGTAAATAGAAGAGTAAAGCTACTAGAAACAGTGACTCTTGATAGTCTTGAGAAATGACAGCTGGCATCTTTACTCTTTAGCAGGCCTTAGACCCACATGAGTTCAGCAGTCAGAGTTCATTTAGTTTGGCGGCACGGTATAGTGTGCTGTAAAATAGCTGAAGGTTAGAAGCTGGACAACCAGGGTTTGACTCTTCCCCCCCACTGGAGACCTCTGAGACCTTGGGTGAGTTATTAACCTGTCTGAGCATCAGTGCCCATATTGAAAAAGAGGAGTAACACCTCATATAGGTGTTTAATGGATTACATAAGATAACATCTGAGAAGTCCTATACTTGGTCCCTGGCCTGGAGAAGACCCTCAGAAAACAGGAGTTGTTTTAAATATACGTTAGCAGCCTCTGAAGATACCATTCTTATACCAGAGCCCAGTGTAATGAGAATTCTGAATCACCACAATAAAATTGTTTGATATACTGTTTAATGAGGTTGGGAAAAATATTATTAATCTTATAAATACTTCCATAAATTTTAATAAATTAAAACGGTGGAAAGTTTGTGCCCTGGTGTTTTTCCAAATGTTGTTAACTACTTGAAATCTTGGTATATAACCGAGATGAGTCTAGCATTCTCAAGTCAGACTAGGATTTTGTAATTGGAAGGCTTTAGAATATGAGGGATGTGTCTGGAATAGGCAACACATTACACATTTGCTATGTACTAATAGTTCCAAGTAACATACATGCATTAGTTCAGTTAATCCTGACGTTAACTTTATGAGGTGGGTACAGTTATTACCCGTTTTACAGATGAGGAAACTGAGGCATAGAGAGGCAAAATGGTATGCCCGAGGTTATACAGGGAGTGGAAAAGCCAGGCTTTTAACCCAAGAGTCCAGGTTCTTGACCTCCACATAACTGTCTGCTTTGTCCTAAGTTGAATGACTTGGACTACAGCGATTCCATGGTGGGTGGTCAGGCCCAGAAGGGAACTGAGGTCACACATCCCAGCAAGATCACAGGTTTATTAGAGCTCACAAGGGACTGTGTGTGGAGTCTAGAGCTTCCCGGACTGTGACCACAGCACTCCCACCCCTTCCTCACCCTCCCCTCTGACCTCCTCTACTCTTAGACGCACCCTGGCTGACATCATCATGGAGAAGCTGACTGAGAAGCAGACGGAAGTTGAGACGGTCATGTCTGAGGTGACAGGCTTCCCTATGCCACAGCTGGACCCCCGAGTCCTGGAAGTCTACAGAGGGGTCCGGGAGGTAAGAGCTGGAATACCCTCACAGGGGCTGTGAGCTCCCACCTAAGGTTTTGGGTGCCCACACCTCATACACAGAAGGCCTGTGGCCGAGAACAGTCTAAAGTCAGAGTGCATGGGTTCAGAGTCCTGCTATGCCATTCAGTGACTTGGTGGCCAAGGGTAAGTTTCTTAATTCTCTGGTCTAGGTTTCCCCATCTGGAAAATGAGAGTGATAATAGCACCTCCTTATATGGTGGTTGTGAGGGTTCAGTGAGTGAATATATGAAAAGCCCCGGGACAAGTACCTGGCACCCAGCAAGCAGTAGATGTAACAGCAAATGGTTTTACTCCCTCATCCCCAGGTGTTGTCCAAGTACCGCAGTGGGAAGCTGCCCAAGGCTTTTAAGATCATCCCTGCCCTCTCCAACTGGGAGCAGATCCTCTACGTCACAGAGCCCGAGGCCTGGACTGCTGCTGCCATGTACCAAGCCACAAGGTAGAGTAGTAGATGGGAGTTAGAGTCACCTTAGGTCTGTAGGTAAGGGCTGGGGGCGTGGGAGGTACAGGCTTGCCCGACCTTTGCCCCAGAGCTCTTTTGTGCTTCTTTGTATCATGATTTTCCCAGCTTTTCCTGTTTCATGTTTTGGGACCAACACCTTATTGAGAATCTCCTATGATGAGTTTCTAGGGAAGAGGCTTATAATTACTGGGCTACCACCTTGGTGTGTCAGACTGGCTTCAGAAGTCTGTGGCTCCCCATGCGTGCTCAGATCCCTGGAAGAGTAGGGTAGAGAAGACCCTTGGTGGGGAGAGGAAGGTGAATAGCGGATAGCATTGGTTTGAGAGCACTCTGACTCTCTCAGTGTTCACCTGTTTGGATATATCTTATAGCCCCTCCGGTTCCCTCCAATCTGACTTGGGTGTTGCATGCACACAGCTCACATATCTCTTGCATGCACCATCCACAGTGATATTTAAGGGCCAGCTCCAGACTATCAGGTGACCTGGGATCTCCCTGCTACCCCCCAAAAAACTAGGATTTTCGCCTCTAACCTGAAGGAACGTATGGCCCAGCGTTTCTACAACCTTGTCCTGCTCCCCCGGGTACGAGATGACATTGCAGAATACAAACGACTCAATTTCCACCTCTACATGGCACTCAGGAAGGCCTTGTTCAAGCCCGGGGCCTGGTTTAAAGGTGAGAGCCCAGAGGCGGTTAAGAAATGGAGGGGCCCTGGCCATTGTGGCTCATTTGGCTGGAGCATTGGCCCGTACGCCAAAAGCTGGCGAGTTCGATTCTCTATCTGTCAGGGTACATACCCAGGTTTCAGGTCCGATTACTGTTAGGGGTACACGTGGGAGACAACCAGTTGATGCTTTCTCTCCCCCTTCCTCTAAGATAAATAAAATAAAAGGCATGTAGGCAATTTAAATGTTTTATTTAAAAAAAAAAAAAAAAGTAAGGGGAGGGGCTGGAGCTCCAGCAGGTGAAAGCAGTAAGCATGACTTGGGGGACAGCTGTCTCTGTGGTAGGTGGGGGTGCTTTCTGCTATGCATCCTTTCTCTCACTCTGGGCTCAAAGTGACTTCCTCTCTCACCCTCCCCAGGGATACTGATCCCACTGTGTGAGTCGGGCACCTGTACCCTCCGGGAAGCCATCATTGTGGGTAGCATCATCACTAAATGCTCCATCCCTGTGCTGCACTCCAGGTAGTGTTGGTGGGGAAGGAGGACAACTGGCCCGTGGAGTCACCAGGACTAGGAAAGTTGGTGCGGGGACAGAGTGGAGAAGGAGCTAAGAATAGCCTTGGGTCTGCGGTTTGTTTAAGCCAGTAGGTATATCATTAGTCCACTAGGTCGTAAATTCCACAAGAACAGGGTCCCAGTGCCTGGCACATGGTAGGTGCTCAGCTAAATAGTGGAATGAATAGGGAACATGGGGAGGAAATAGGTTGGGGTGGAGATGTTGATATTTGAACATATTCCAGTTGGATACTGAGTGAGACAAGCATTCTGAGCCAGAGATAGGGATTTGGAATAAATCGGCATAGAGGTGGTAACTGGAGTGCAGGGAGGAGGTCAAGACTGCGTAGGTGAGAAAGCCTGAGGTGACCCTCTTAGGCATACACAGTGTAGAGGCCAGCAGAGGAGAAGAGGGGAACACAGGGCGAGGTAGAACTTCTCCCCCAACACTTCCCACCACTAACCTACCCCCTTTGCACCAGCGCGGCCATGCTGAAAATTGCCGAGATGGAATACAGCGGAGCCAGCAGCATCTTCCTGCGCCTGCTGCTAGACAAGAAGTACGCCCTTCCCTACCGGGTGCTGGACGCCCTGGTCTTCCACTTCCTGGGGTTCCGGGCGGAGCAGCGTCAGCTGCCCGTGCTCTGGCACCAGTGCCTCCTGACTTTGGTCCAGCGCTATAAGGCAGACCTGTCCACAGAGCAGAAAGAGGCCCTCCTGGAACTGCTCCGGCTGCAGCCCCATCCACAAGTGTCCCCCGAGATCAGGCGTGAGCTTCAGAGCGCAGTACCCCGAGATGTGGAAGATGTTCCCATCACCATGGACTGAGGAAACAGCCACTCATCCTGGTCTGAGGGGTGTGGGAGGACACCAGGATCCCTGTTAAGGTGACACTGAGCCTTTATAGCTGAAGACCCAAACCTGGGCAATGAGAGTTCATGGGCATCTGTGACTCCTCGGTACCTGACAGGGAGGACTGAGGGTCTGGCTGGCTCCCCCTTCCCTTCTAGGCCATTGTTCCTGCTCAGTTCTGGAACCTGTTTGAAATTCCGTGCCCCAGCATTCCCTCCCCCCTGCTGGGGCTTGGAGTAAGTACTTTCTTTCAGGCTATTGTGTCAAGTCACTGGGATGCAGATAAAAAGGAGGGTATTTATTAAGTTCTGCGTTCTGATATGGTCAGTACAGATCTCCGTTTTCCCTCTCTATCTGGAAGTAGGGCTCACTCTTCCCTATTCCTGTCTAGGAATGGGTTCTCACCCAGTTTGTGCAGCTTCTTTCTCCAGGCTGTACCCCGTGTTAGCCCCTAGGGGGCACAGTCTCTGCCTTCCCCAATACAGGCTACTTTGGGAGAATGGCAGGAATCAGGAGGTTATTCAGAAGATGGTCTCAGCTGTGGATGGAAGCGCTAGAGGAGAAAGCCCCTGGAGCAGGGGTGGGGAACTTTTTTTACCTGCCAAGGGCCATTTGGGTATTTATGACAACATTCTCAGGCCATACAAAATTATCAACTTAAAAATTAGCTATGGACAAAGCTCCTAGACTTATTGAATTTCGAGTCCTGCCTGTGGCTGCCTTGGCAGAGCCAGACCAAGTGATTTCACAGGCTGTATATGGCCCACGGGCCGGACATTCCCCACCCCTGCCCCTAGAGGGAAGTGGAAATACAAAGGCCAGATAGATCCTAGAATAATATTGGTCTTGCCCAGGAATAATTAGATCTGGGTCACCACCAGAGAAGTTCCCTTTCTAACTTTCTTGGATAATGAGAGCTTTAGAGTGGAAGTTGGCAAACTAGGGTCATACACCCATGAACTAAGAATGGTGTTTACAATTTTTAATGGATGGGAGAAAAAAATTTTAAATAGTATTTTGTGATAAGTGAAAATTATTTTACTGTCCATAGTTTTATTGGAGCACAGCCACTCCCATCTAGTTAACGTGTTTTCTGTGGCTGCTTTCATGCTGCACCAGCAGAGCACAACCCTGGAACCCTCGTTTGTCTTTGAAAATGTGACTTCGTTCCAACCCAATTAATATATTTGGGAACAATTTGATCATAAAGCAAATATCACATTTATTTATGTGCAGTTTTGTCCTAGAGAAACACCCTGTAAAATCAGAAAACTGCACCCAGCTGAATCAAGCCAGATACATAAATGCAAGCGCCTCCACCATTTGAGTTGGGAGTCACACCCACATCTGGTGTTACAACCCACCTTCCACATCCTTCCGACCTGTTTCCACAAGCAAACTTCAGGTCTTTGATGATAAAGGACTATATTTATTGTATTTGTGTTTGACCACTTAGTGTGTAAAAACTGTGCTATTCTCTTTAAGAAAACATGTTGCTCAGTAAGTTTTTGCATGTTGTGCCTTAAGCCCACACATAAGTCCTGAGGGTTTTATTGTGCAGTTCTGCAGAGTGCAGTGATATTTAGGGACTCATACGTTCCAATATAAAGTAGAACTGGCTATATGTGGGGCAGAGACAATACTGCCCACAAGCCTAAAATATTTACTCTCTGGTCCTTTACAGAAAATGCTTGATGGACCCTGCTTGAGACAACTGATTTCTATCCTCTTTATCTCCTGCAGTTCAGAAATGGGCTTTTACCCGCACCTCCATCCAATCCAAGAAGCTAAGACCAATTTTATTCCAGAGTCTTTATTAAGATAACATGATGGTCCTGGGCCAGCAGCTGGGACCCTGTGGCCTTAGGAAAGACCTGTGTCATCAGGGCTTGCATCCCTCCAGACGGGGGTTCGGTCACCTCCAGATCGTCCCTGCTTCTTCCCCCACCGAAGGATGGGGCAGAGGGCCAAAGGGAGAGGAGGGCCTGGCCCCTCCCCAGGCTGTAGCAGCTCCTCGGTCACAAAGATCCTCTAGCCAGTAGCAGAGGGGAGGGATTCAGCAACCACCAGGGTTACCACCACTTATGGGGTAGGTGGGCCCCACCACACCCTCTTACAGTTGTATTCAACACAATAAATTAAAACAGCCTCTTCCTTCAGCACTGACCCCCTCTATCACAGGAGAAGCTGAGCGGAAAGCAAAGCGAGGAGGAATTGGTTGATGCTTGAACCTCTGACAGAGGCCTGGGCCCCTCCCTCTAGATGCAGCTGTGAGCACGGATTATACAGGGCTCTCCAAAGTGTGTTGAGAAGAGCTGTCCAGACTATGTCCCCTCAGAATACCAGAAATTTCTTCAGAAAGACCCCAATCCAAATGCAGTAACTCTAGAAGGTGCAGCACCTTTATAAGGCACCAGGGCATTTTGGCAGTTGAGAACATGAGAGCCCCAGAGATAGGGGGCTTCAAAAAGGAATGCTGGTACATGTACTTTACCTATTTCAATTTTGTGTCTGACCAGCCTTATCCACCCCTAGCCAGAACCAGGGGAGGAGTTGAGCTGGTCAGAGACAGGGAGTAGGAGGGGCCTGGCTAGCCACCCAGACATGGCTGGCCGGGCCCCTTAGTGCACACTGCAGGGATAGGTAGGACCTGCCCCCTTCTGTTTAGCGAAGGGCAAATAGGAAGGAGCCCCCTCAGACTTCAATTGTGGCAGATGTGACGTGGTTCATTCCTGCAGGCAGGGAGGGAGGGTGGCAGTGTCCCTCTGCTGTCAGTAGCCACTGGGAGGGGGCCTTTCCCGGGCTACAGGTGGATGGCTGTGACATCTGTGGGAGTGCTGGTCTGGCTGGGCCCCTGGCTGCTGGAGCCTCTGGGGGCTTTTGGTGCCGGGCTGGGGGATGTCTGGGCAGCTTCCCTGAGGCTCTCCCTGAGTGCAGCTTCAATCTGCTCCTGACAGGCCCGCAGGCAGTCCTGGGAACAAGGGGGAACAGTAAGGAGGGACTGCTGGGTGAAGTGGAGGAAGGTCCCCTTGGATAAACGTCCACTTCCCTCCACCAATAGCATCTGGCAGCAGGTGCAGGGGACAGACACCTCCCAGCACACAGGGAAGTCTGGGGAGGTTAGGCCACAGCCCAGCCCCAGGAATCAGCCTTCAATTCTCAGAAACTGGCAAGAGGATGTGGCAAGAGGGTGTGAGAGCAGCCCTGCATCTGACACCAACCCCCCCCCCCACTGCTGCACACCATTTGGCAGAAAAGGGCACCAAGGGACGGTACACTTAAACCCACCCAAGACCAATTGCTCTTCTCCAGACAAGGCAAGAGACAAAAGGCCACAGAAGCCCCAAGGGCAGGGCACATGAAACGGGGAGTGAAGAACAGGTTGGAGATGGACGCCTCCCTCTACTGGAGGCTCAGGGAATAGTGGTGCTTCATGAATTGACAGGCAGCTACTCACCACTTCAGTGCCTGTGATCCCTGCCAGCAGCTCCGTAAGTTCATCTCCAGATGCGGACCAGGCACCCAGGCCTTGCACTGCAGCCCCAATGCTGCCTGTGGCGATCATGGACGGTGGGTACATGGCAAAGGTGTAATCTTGGGAAGAGAAAGAGGGAACCCTAAGGCAAGGAGAACATCAAGAATGACAGCCAGGGTGGACTTCCTGTTCCTCAGAAAGTGCCAGACAGCACGCGGGCATATTGGAAAATGCCAGCAGTGAGTAGTGTCAGATGGGCAAGAAAACAAGCTAGGAAGGGTCCTCTCCTAGGGGGTCAGGGTGAAAAGCAGACCTGCAGGCCAGGTCCAGGGTAGTCCTTAAGTGACCCTAGCCAGGAACCAGGGAGTGAATGAGTCTCCCTGGTGTGGGAACAAAAGAGTCACGAGACCTGGGTTCTACTCCCAACTTAATCACCATGAAACCTTGGGAAGTGACGTCTCTCTAAGCCCTGAGTCCCCACCTACATATGTACTGGGGGTCTCTAAGATCCCATACAGCTCCGATTGTGCTCTGCATCTCTTCTGTATTGAAATGGGGGCTCAGAGGGGCAGTAACTTCCACAAATTTTGAAAGGCATATAAACCAGAATCTGTTAGCTACCCTTAGTTGATTTTCTTGATTTGGCAAAAATGTGCCTAGACATATTACCTGTAGCACAGAGAGCCAAAAAGGTCTGAGCATGTTTTTTGACCAAGGCCTGTCGATCACTGGGCAGAGAGAGCCGGTGCAGGATGAGGGCCAGGAAATCATGGGCAATCACGGCAGCCAGGTCCCACTTGAGCTTCCCCAGGACCAGCACCTCCCAGTCCTGGAGGTTGGAGAAGAGGTAAGGTCAGTGACTGAAGAAGGGAAGGGGAATAAAGCAGGAGGAAGCCCATCAAATTAAAGGTCAAGACCCCAGTTCTGCCTCTGGGTTTAGGGACTGACACTGTGGAATGGGGAGTCCAGGGCAGGCAAGAGCTGGGGACATTCCCTTTGAGCATCTATTCATTATTGACTAGGTGCCAGACTACATGCTATACACGAATCGTCTTAATCTTGTTTGGTTATCTTTTGGGGGCCAAAACTACAGGCTGCCTCCTGACTTGATCCAGGACTCTGAGCACTTCTCCAGCCAGGGTTGAAATGAAAGACTGCAGCAACAAATACCATCAGCATCTCTATGAACTTGAGGCTCCTCTGGGGTAAAGCAGATTCTCCATAATCCCAAGGATTTGTAAAAGGGGAAATCACCACTAACCTCTCCCCCAACTCTGCATCCCAGCCAAGCCTATACCTCTTGAAGAAACTGGAGTGAGCAGGAGGCCACCCAACCTCTGATACAGCCACTGAACCAACCCTGAGGTTCCTCAATCGGAGAGGTTGCCCAACCCAACCCACATCCCCTTGGTGGGACATCAGGGTTAGGTCCTGAGATACAACACCCCACTCCACTCCCTTTAGCTGGAACCCATAGTGCCTAGTGCCATTTGAGTCTCAGATGTAGAAGCCAAGCCAAACAGGATGGGTCTGAATGATCCCTGAGGGAACAAACCCTATCTCCCCCTGCCCAAGCCTGCATACCCCTACTAGGTCCCAAAGGGAGGCTGAGAGCCCCACCCCAGAATCCACTCGTCGGGTTCCCAGCCCTGACCCCATTTCTGAGTTGCACACACATGAGGATTTCTTCATTGTTTTATCGCAGGAAGGAACTCATGGGTTTGACCCCTTACTGAGGCAGAAATGGCAACCCCACCCAACCTCTTCCCGGCCCCCACCTAGGTGTCATCCTCCCAAGTCAGCCCCCCACAGGGCGCCACTGAAAACAGC